TTATTTATTTATTTATTTATTTATTTATTTATTTATTTATTTATTTAATATGAGAACACTGTAGCTGTCTTCAGACACGCCACAAGAGGGCACCAGATTCTATTACAGATGGATGGGAGACCCTATGTGGTTGCTGGGAATTGAACTCAAGACCTTTGTAAAAACAGTCAGTGTTCTTAACCATTGAGCCATCTCTCTAGCCCCAGACAGCTTTCTTATAGAAGCCAGGACTAAAGAACTTGATCCAGTTGTCTTTTTCAAGATGCCCAAGGAAGACAGTGAAGGGTGGGGAGTTAATTCGTCAGATGAAAGTAAATGGAGCACAGGATGGCATGACTAATCTCATAAGCTTCAAAACAAAATTATATAGGAGGTCACTGGATAGTATTAAATGGAAACACACATCTAGAAGATGTAGTAATTGTAATATGAATACACCAAATGTTGGGTTTTGTAAGACAAACAGTAATTGACATATAAGGTCATGTTATGGTCAGATGTATCAGTAGTGGGTGATTTTAATACCCTACACTAATCTCTACATATCATATCAAGATTGAGAAGTCAAAAAACCTCAGTGATGAACTGTAAAATAGAACAAATGGAGTTTACCAATGTTTCACGGAATGACAGAGTAGTCCATCCAACAGAAACAGAGTTCACACCTTTTCAGTGTGCCCTGGAAACTCTGCTCAGACTACAAATCAAGTCTTTCCAAATACAAAAGAATCAAAATAATCCCTTATATCGTATCACATGATAGTGTAGTTAACTAGAAGTCAGTAATGTGAAAAGTACAGAAACTCTATAAATACATACAGACCTAACAACACACCATTCAATGACTAGTGTGTCCTCAAAGAAATCAGGGAAGAAATGAGAAAGTTTCTAGAATTATGTGAAAATGAAAGCACAAGTTACCAGAGTGACTAGGTTACAGGTACATGTGTGTGTGCACATGCACACACACATATAATGCATGTAAATTTAAATCTTAAGAAACACAAAACATCCTTTGCTGAGCAATCACAAAGATGGCTGAAGCGGAGCGGAAGAAGAAGCAGACCTTCTGCAAGTTCAAGTTCACCTATCATGGCATGGACCTCGACCAACTGCTGGACATGTCCTGTGAGCCGCCGATGCAGTTGTACAGTGCTCACCAGGGGCAGTGCCTGAACCGTGTCCTGCAGTGGAAGCAGCACTCACTGCTCAAGCCATTAAGAAAGGCCAAGAAGGAGGTGCCACCCATGGAGAAGCCCGAGGTGGTGAAGACCCACCTAGGAACAAGATCATTCTACCTGAGCTGGTCGGCAGCAAGGTGGGCATGTAAAACAGCAAGACCTTCAACCAGGTGGAAAACAAACCAGATATGATTAGATACTACCTGGGTGAGTACTCCATGACCTAAAAGCCCCGGTATTGGTGTCACCCACTCCTCCCAATCCATCACACTCTGTAAGGGTAAAAATTAAAACATCTCAGCAGAGACCACAAACAACTTGGCAAAGACCGCAGGACAGCTTGCTGAGCTTGCTGAGAATAGCCATAATAAAAATACCAAGCCCCTCTAGGGAGGAGGTGACCAGAAATGTAGAAACAACCAAAGACATATCTTCACCAGT